GTTGGTTGGTTGATTGGTTGGTTGGTTTATTGGTTGATTGGTTGGTTGATTGGTTGGTTGATTGGTTTGTTGATTGGTTGGTTGGTTGATTGGCTGGTTGGTTGGTTGATTGGTTTGTTTGTTGGTTGGTTGGTTGATTGGTTGGTTGATTGATTGATTGGTTGATTGGTTGGCTGGTTGGTAGGCGGTCGTCCTATCATTTGAATGCCTGGATCAGCTGTTCAGCAGATGGACCGCCTGTAAAACCACGAAACTCGGAAAGGAAAACAAATAAAGCAATGTAGCGATGTGCCGACGATTGTGATGATGACGATGGTAGTAACAGTGATGACGTAATGAAGTGATGGTAGTAGTAGTAGTAGTTGGAACGTTAGAGGTGATGATGACGATGATGATGATGACGATGATGACGATGATGATGAAGTTGATGATGATGATGATAGAAGATACGATAGTGATGATGGTTTTTTTTCTTTTCATTTTATTATTCACCAAACAGTCACTTTATGACTCTGCAATTCTTTATTACAATCATTACCACTACTACTACCACTACTACTACCACTAATACTACTACTACCACTACTACTACTACTACCACTACTACTACCACTACTACTACTACTACCACTACTACTACTACTACCACTACTACTACTACTACTACTACTACATTGCTGCTGCTACTGGTAATATTACTATTATAGCCATTTTTTAAATGATATAATTAATAATTAATATTAATAATAATAATTATTATTACTAATAATTATAGTTTAGCTGTTCAATGCAAATATTTGCTTGTATTGACTTATTTGTAAGAAGGTGTGTTTAGGAATAAATGTGAGTGTGTTTGTGTGCGTGTGTGTGTGTTTTTTGATGCGATGATGAAACTAATGTGATGTTACGTAGCTCATCATTGGAGAAATTAATGTTGAACATTTGATGACCCGACGATAATGTTTCTTACTGTAACAATCTTGTTGTGATGATGTGTTGTTGTGATGATGTGATGTGTTGTTGTGATGATGTGATGTTGTGAGCGAGCCGTGTTAACACAGCACAGACACGTGCAAATGAATTTATTGGTCGTCTGACTTTCTTGGAGGCAATTTGCCACATTGCTTTGTCACTCCCTCCATTCATTTATTAACTTCCAGCCGTCTATTTGTCCATTTATCATTCATTTATTCAATCGTTTGTTTTTCACTTGTTTTTACGTTCACTCGTTTGTTTCTTCGTTCTTGTTCACTCGTTCGGTCGTTCGTTCACTCGTTCGTTCGTTCATTCGTTCGTTTGACCAATTAAACAAATATTTGATTTCGTTATTTTTCACTAGTTTACTCCTTTGTTTATCTTTAATATTTCTTTTGTTCACCAAATAATTGGTTTGCTCATTCATTCATTCATTCATTCATTCATTCATTCATTCATTCATTCATTCATTCATTCATTCATTCATTCATTCATTCATTCATTCATTCCTTCATTCATTCCTTCATTCGTTCGTTCAATTCATTCATTCATTCATTCATTCATTCATTCATTCATTCATTCATTCATTCATTCGTTCGTTCGTTCGTTCATTCAATCATTCATTCATTCATTCATTCAATCATTCATTCAATCATTCATTCGTTCATTCATGCATTCATTCATTCATTCATCCATTCATTTGTTCACTCGGTCGTTTGCTCAATAAAGTAACTGGTGACAATAGAGCCAGTTAATTTAACAAACTAATCAGCCAAGCAAACAAATAAACACATATGTATGTATGTATGTATGTATGTATGTATGTATGTATGTATGCATGTATGTATGTATGTATGTATGTATGTATGTGTACAGATGTATCAGTAGTGTATATTTGCATACAAAGTCTTTCAATGCCAACTCATAAATTACTTGCGGGAATTAATACCGCAAACACACACACACACACACACACACACACACACACACACACACACACACATGCAAATGCACAGATGTACCATGTATGTTCGTTTGAATGTCTATATGTATGTTTGTTTGTGTGTTTGCAGATGTTGTGGTATGTTTGTTTTTGTGTGTGTGTTTGTTTGTAAGTGTTGTTGTTCGTTTGTTTTTATAAAGTAGTGTGCAAAGCAAATATGTTTGGTTGGTTGGTTAGTCTATATATAAATGTGTGTGTGTGTGTGTGCGTGTGTGTGCGTGTGCGTATGTGT